TGAGAAGTTTGGGAAGTCAGAGATCTAGAATGCCAGCTCACCCACATTCATCTCTAAAATTAGGATACTGTTTATTTTGGCCGCTCCAGGAAAAACGTGTAGGGCTGTGCAGAGCATTGCATGTATGTATGTATGCATGCATGTATGTATGTAATCTGTATTCCACTCTTTCCTAATGGTGCTTCCCAAAACATGTTAGCCTAAGCTAAACATCTCCCCTTGAAGCATTTTCATGTCATGTCATGTCATGTCATGTCATGTCATGTCATGTCATGTCATGTCATGTCATTTTTTTTTTTAATGCTTGCAAGGTTGCTTCAAGAGAAACCCATAGCTGTCTAAAATTGTTTCTTATTTTCCTGGTGGTTATGCTGGAATCGCTGTCTTTCTTTACACTCGGATGGGCAAATAATCAGGCCTAGTCTTCAAAGCAGCCATGAGATCCACTGGGTATGTTAAAAAACAAACAAAAAAACAGCCAAGATGGTGTCTGCAATGGTGTGATTGAAACTCTACCTGTTTTTTATATATCACATCATTTTGACTTTTTTAACCACACCTGTCAGCCCCATTAGGTCTCCTAGGAAACCAACTCCATGGGAAAGGTAAAACTACTTTTACTGAGATTGGCTCTAACAATAATCTTGCAAATTGGATTATGCTATACATCCTCCCCCTTCTTACACTCCTCTAAATAAGGGAGGTATCTGTCTGAGCCTCTTCTGAATACTATCTGTCTATTGTGGACTTCGAACATGTTTTGCTCCTTGTTGTTTTGGTAACACAGTTTGTGTATGAAGATCATCTTCCTTACCCTTTACATCAGCCTACAGAAACCCTTGAAAACAGCTGTGTGAGTCTTTCAACTGATGGTTTAATGCATTAAAATCTGCTTAACTACACTGTGAGAAGTTTTAGCCCTCTTTCCTTATTCTGGGGAGGGAGGGGGAACTGCTGCACTTCTATAAAAGATTCCAAACAAGCACTATAATAACATATCAGAGGTATCACTAGATAAGTTTCTAGTAATCATCACATTGAACTGTTGTCTGAACACATGGATGAAATTGTAGTTAAAAACAAGTGTTTCTGACAGAACGGGTATCCACAGAAATCCCAGAAAATTAATTATCTGAACAAGCACAGTTTTCTCACCGAGTAAGTAAGTAAGTAAGTAAGTAAGTAAGTAAATAAATAAATATCCCAGCATTAATTTTGGGTGGTAGACTTATTTTAAAATACTGCAAACTAGTGAGAATCCTTACATTTACACAAGGCTTCATGCTTCATAAAACTAAGTACAGGAAACATGGCTGTTAGTTCTTCAGCCTAAAGTCAATATTTAGAGAAAATTATAATTTTACAAGCTGCTTTTTCCTATTCACCAGTTATAAATTCACAGTTTAACTATTCACAGTTATGTTTTTGAATCAATGTGGACGAACTATTTCCACATTAATTTATATTTTCACAGTAATGGCCCAAATGGCCCCGTCAAATTCTATGAGTGGCTGGATTTTCTATAGCTTCAATCTATGTTTCCAC